TACACTTAGAAAATAGCCTGAAACCGGTCGAGTATAGCCCGAATACCACTTTCTAAGCATACTCGACCGGGTATTCATATATACTCGATCGGGTATACACCTAGAAAATAGCCTGAAATCGGTCGAGTATACCTCGGATCGGGTGTTACACACATACTCGATCGGGTACCATGTATATACCCGATCGAGTACCCGAATCCCATCCCAAAAACCTATAAATACACCTCCTTTCCTTCACAAAAAGATATCCAATCCCTTTGTACATCTAAGCTCAGTATAGAATAGCTCTTTCTTTATATTTTTCATCATGTTTAGTCTCCAAATAAGGAGCTAAACTCTTCCATCTTGGTTTTGCTACTTTGAAGCTTAATGAATTTGTAAGTTGTGAGTTATTTTTCTTTAATCTTCTTCCTTGAATATTAATTCTTTCTTTCAAAATACTATCTCTATATCAAAGTTGGGGAGTGTTACTAAGATGACAATTAGTTAACATCTTGACATTGGCTATGGTAATAGCTATTTCTTCTTCTATGATAATATTGGGGAGTGTTACTAAGATGACAATTAGTTAACATCTTGATATTAATCATAGTAGGATTCATATATTTTAATATTCTTCCTTGAGTATTAATTAATTCCTATTCATATTTCATTTTAATATCTTAAACATTACTTAAAAGTATCAACTAGTATTGTTTCTCATATTAATTATTACTAGAATCAATCGGTTAATACGCTTGTTATTAATCCGGTTCTTTCAACGGTAGTAAACTTGGAATATTAATGCATGCATCTCATGGTTAATATGCCAAGGGGAATTAATTATATTGATTAAACCAATAAACCGCTTGTGTTGAGGTTATCAATCTCAATCGTTTTCATCTTAAGTTTATTGCTACTATCAAGTTAATATACGGCGCTTGTTCTATATTGACTCGATAGTAAGTTTTATTAATGAACGCATCTCGTTATTAATAACTACCCTCGATGAACTAGATATACTCCTCGATTGAGTATTCGAGAGGAAGATAGTTAAAGATATAACCGGGATCGACGAACATTTCATTAAGTGGATAAAAGCAAAACCAAGTCCCCATCTCATTGAATTAAACTCATATAGGTTGTTTATCTTAGTATTGTTAAAACAAACAAATCTAAAACCCCCTTTTGTTACTACTATTATAAAAGAAAAGTATTCCTTTCCCTGTGGATACGAACCTTACTGCACTATACTACGTATTTGTGTCGTATTGATTATTTATTTTGAGTGCACCTAACGACGAGTGCACGTCAGGGATCCTTTACAATGAAGAAGGGGCTAGCTATTTATAGCAGCCATAGATTATAGGTGCAATAAGTGAGTGTACACGTAGCAAGTAACCAGCGGTGGAGAGTCGACTCGGCCAGGGTGGCGCCGACGCAACATGTGGTGCCGCATTCAATGCGGTCGTTGGAGTTGACACCGCATTTAATGCGACGATTTAGAGTATGTGGAGAGGAGATCCTGTCGAGGAGAGTGCCCTCGGTTACAAGCACCCGGGGGCTGCATGTGCCGAAGGCTATGTATGAGCCGAAGGCTGCCTACGCTGAAGGCCGTACGTACCTAGGGGCCATTTGGGTCTTGGTGGCGTGCTGGGGACGTACGTAGCCGGATACCGTCGTGTGCTAAAAGCCGTACGTATCTGGATACCGCCATGTGCTGGAGGACGTACGTCCCCAGTGCCTTCCCTGTGCTGGGGGACGTACATCCCCTGGGGGCTTCCATGTGATGGAGGACGTACGTCCCCTGGGGGCTTCCATGTGCTGGAGGACGTATGTCCCCTGTGGGCCGTCATGTGTTAGAGGCCGTACGTAGCTGGAGAGGGCCGTCATGTGTTAGAGGCCGTACGTAGCTGGAGCTCTTCATGTATTAGAGGTCGTGCGTACCCAGGGTTCTTCATGTGTTAGAGGTCGTACGTACCCAAGGCTCTTCATGTGATAGAAGACGTACGTCCCCGGGGCCTTCCATGTGCTGGAGGACGTACGTCCCCTTGGGGCCTTTATGTTCCGAAGGACGTACGTCCCCTGGAGCATTCAGGGGCCTTGTTTGCTGTGTTTGGGTCGCTTGGGCTTGTTGGACTTGATTGTAGTAGTGGAAGTATGTGGGTCGGGGTTCCTGCGCCATATACTCCACCAAGGGGTCTGAAAATTCTAAATAGTTTTTGATAATTTCTAACTTGATTTTTGTTCATTTCATTTTTTATTGAGATTGTGATTATATTGCTTATTGTTGATTATAACCAATTTTTATGGGAAGTCATGCCAAAATTTTGAAAAATTGACTTCAATTGTTTGAGTTTGCAGGACGAATGACATCAAAAGGAAAGTCCTTGGATATCGGCCCCGAGACGAGCCAACCTAAGCGAGCTAGGAACATGAAGGCTTCCGCTCCCGCCTCTCCTATCTTGCCGGTAAGTCGTTTCGTCAACGCAGAGTGCTACGAGTGGTACAAGGAGTCTCGGGATAACGATTTCGTCATTGAGAAAATGGTCTCAGAGGAAATTGGCCAAGAATACCAGTTACTTGAGGGATTCGCTAGCATCTCTTGGGAGGCTGTTCTCCACCTCCACGGGGCCTACTACCCGAAGTTGATCAAGAATTTCTATGCCAACGTTGTTGAAAAGAGACATCCGAAGACGACGATTGAGAGTCGAGTCAAAGGGGTGACCATCACATCACCAACGCCCCTTATTGCCAACGGGGACGTCTGTTGGCAAAGTACAACCCAATTACGGCGGCCCAATATTTCGGAGTTCAAGAGAAGTGGATTGCCCGGAACTTCGAACAACCACACATTCGGGCTCACCTTTTATGCCATCTTTATTCTTTCAACGTCATGCCAAGGGCAAGCTGACTCAACGAGACACACATCGTCGATCTCTATTTTTCCTACCAAATGTGCATCGGCATCGGGGTTATAAGAGGGGAATCCTCTCTCGGGCATTGTTATCAAGCAATTGTTTTTCAAATTTGAATATTAGATCTTGGAAAAAATCTGATTTTCCAAAGTTTTGGATGATGATTCCAAATCATGCCAAGTTTATGGTAGAAATGTGTACTCTCACAATCATATTACGACAAAAAAATTTGTGTAAACTAGTTTTCTGATTTTCTTTATTACCTTTTGTTTTTCTAATTTTCGAGTGTGTTGAAGTGCATATTCCATAAAAAAAATTGAATATTTTGTTTTTGACTTCATATTCTTGCCAAATTTATGCCAGTTTTGTGTAAATCTTCTCAGATAAATATGCCAAGTTTATGATAGCTCTAAAAAACCCTATTCATTGCAAAATTGAAATTAATCTTCAAATCTAAATATGTCAATTCAATGGCATATTTATGGCATGGACAGGGGCAACGATGAATGGTGGGACTGGCGGCGGCGGGCCATTCCGGAGAGGGCGGCTGTAGGTGGCACCAGTGCTACTACTAGCGGTTAAAAGTTTAGGGTTTCAATTTTTTTTTTTTAATTTTACCCTTTTAAAATTAGAAAAATTAAACCATGTTATTTTTGTCCAACTACGCTGAATTGCTCCTATGAAATCTTTGTTTGTTGACACTCCTATTTGTGCAATTAAATTTGCTTTTATTCCTATTTTGGTAATTAACTCTTTCTCCCAATGAGTCATGGGATATCATTACCAAAGAATGACAGTTTTTCGACTGATAATGTAATCAAACACATGAAAGGGATTCCATACGTTCCTGTCATTGGACCAATCACATATGTGATTATTTGTACTAGGTCAGATGTGACTTCTGCATTCATTATAGTTGGTTGATATCGAAATTAACGCAGGAGAATGACATTGGAGTGTTGTTAAGAGTATTCTTAAGTATCTTAGATGAATTAAAAAATATCTCTTAAATTATGTAGAATAGAAAGAGCTAGTAGCATCCGGTTACTCTCATGCTAACTTTATGAGTGGTAAGGATGACTAAAAATCAAAACCATAATATGTTTTCAGCTTTAGTGGGACAATAGTGGACTAGAACATCTCGAAGAAAGACACCAGTTCCTTGTAGAATTAGGGATAGCTTGGAATGATGGTCGTCCCAAAATTGTTTATTGTGACAACACTAGTGTTGTTGTTCGAGCAAAGAAACAAAGATGCGACAAGATGAATGGACATGTGGCAAGGCGTTACATGTGATTCAGGGTGGATAGCAAGAGGATAAGTTACAATGGAACGTGTTCCTTTGTAAGGAAAATTTAATGATTAAAGTAAGGAAAATTTAGTTGATTCCTTTACTAAACCTTTGAATTGTGAAATTGTTAGTACTTATTATTATGTCAAAGAGACAAAAAGTATACAAAGATATATGTATTTGATCATATTGTTTTTTTATGATATTTGATATTTTTATGGTATTGCACATCAGATTGTTAGTACTTATTATGCTACTCATGTTTATGTTACCTTAGACTTATGTTATCACTAAATATGTGAGAGTTTAACTGACATAACGTAAAGTCCTAAAAATATACCCAATCAATGATTTTCGAGAATGGGGTATCGATGAGATGTGTTAAGATTGATATGTCGAATGCATCATACATTTAGAAAGTATAGTTAATCCCACCAGTCACGACAATGAGCACTAGTAATTCATGTATGGAGTGATGCACTTTCACCATGACAACCGTTTGCGCTCCCCTAGAATAGACATGACATGTGTTGGCACATAAAAATAGTAATTGAGGAAATAAAGGATTCGTTCATCACTTCATCCTAATATGTTTAGAGTGAACATTCTAATTACTATGATAATAAGGTTTCCTGACATACTCTTTGATATCTAACTGTTCATTTGAAAAGAATAAATCACTTGAATATATATATCACTTAATGCCCACTAAACTGGAGAGCTGTACGTTCAAATTTAACTCTTGTTGTTGTCATTAGTATTCATTTTTCTATCATATTCTTAAAATTTATTTCGGATTTTTTTAAAACTTCCGCTATTTCAAAATACGTTACAAAAAGTTTGTAAAGTAAGATAATCCCAAATGAGAACAAGGGCTGGATGAATCTCATTGATTGGATTCCAAAGAATTTGTTCAAAATAAATACGCTATTGAAGAAGGAAGGCTACACCTTAATCATAATCCAACGGGCAACCCCTGTTCAGCTGTTCTACACCCTAACAAATTTGGCCACTCGGTCAGAAAGTTTCAATGTTAAGAAGATCAATTCCTCCGCTCCTAGATAATGAAGCAAAACATCGCCTAGAACGCGTTGGTATTCCAATGTTTTTTCATGCATGAACTATCATCCAACAAGAACAAAATGGACGATGCGGCGATGCCCATTCTGGAACTCTACTTGACCAAAACATAAAGCCTAAAAAATCAATTAGTAAGGAAAACGTTTCCAGGATTAAACACTGAACAAGAAAATTAAAAGGCTATCTAAATGCCAGAAGTAATGTCAACAGCTTTATGACAATATATAGTAGTGAGTGCTCCTCTTAATGCTTTAAAGTGCTGTTTTCCCTTCTTTCATTCGCACAAGAGACTCTAGAAATTCTTTCACCTGCATTAAGAGTTTTTTAATCATCAGGTTAATCGACAACAACAGTATATACGAAAAACACTGAAAAATGTAAAAATCCACCGGATTCAGATTCCACCTGTGAAGTATCCTTGAGAGAAAAGAAAGCTTTGCTTTCCTTGGGAACAGCAGAAACCAGAATTCCGTAACCTCTCTCTCGCTCTCGCAATACCTTAAATACATTAACCAAGAACACATATGCATTTAGATATATTCTCGCACGCATCCATTTAATTACTAATATACTCCACACACCCTCTCATGTGTGGGCACAGGTTGTTTTTACCGGAACAAAAAAGCGTAACACGTAGGCATCACATATATATGTGTGCGACGAGTTTCAAACATAGGATATTTTAAATGCTTTGATACCATGATAAATTTCTGGAAACATCAATAATCTAAAAGCATTAAGCTGGTGTCGAACTGTCGATTCCCATTAATTCCATTATTGACAACATTAATGACATGTGGAAGGCAGGCTGGAAGAAGTTTAGATCATTTTAAGATTACCTTAAAGGCATCTTCATCTGTTCTGTCATCTCCAATATAAATAGCAAGCACATCCTGATTGTTGCCCAAACCTACAGTGTATATTCAATGTACTGTCAAATAATTATTTCCTACTTTGTTTGCCTAGACAGCAAAAAGGAGGTGTTAAAAAGCTACAGACCCAGTGATTCAAGCAGAAAATTCACAGCTTTTCCTTTATCCCAATCAATTATAGGACGAATTTCTAAAACCTGTTAGCAGATCATAATGAAGATAATATTAAAGTTCAGAAGAAAGAGACTGGGTTTAACAAAACATTCATTCTGACCTTCCGTCCATGAGTGAGACAAAGTCTAGGGTAATCTTTCATGATATCATGCACTATTTGAGCTACTGCAGGCCAACTCTGTTGTCAAAACGATAAACAAACATCAGTTTAGTGTATATACAAACCAAACAAAAACAATGGATTTTCATAATGAAGAGCATTCTTGGTAAGTGGTGTTTTGAAGATATGGCTTAATGTTCTAAAATGGAAAGTGTGGTAAAATCCATTAATCCAAATGAGCAAATTAAAATATACGTATTCTCCAAACAAATAGAGCCTAGGTAAAGATACAGAAAGAAGAGTATTAAGAACATGGTAACTCACATTTGTATCTACATTACGGTAATGAACAGAAGCACAAAACTTATGGTTCTCAACCTTAGAACCTTTAATATCTTTAGTGTTCTCAGTTAGGGTTTTAAAAACCTGCAACGAAAAAAGGTGTGAACTTTTGATGAAAAACCGAGTTTGCAATATATTCAGGTTCAAACCACACCTCGTTGATCATTGGTATGAATTCACGAGCAGGCTGGAACAAATGTATTTCCTCACCCTGACCACAAATGTTCAAATTAAGGAAAGAATAGGAATGACACAAAAATTAGATGTCATTGAGGAGGCTTTTGCTACTTTCTAAATACACAAGTGGTCAAAGTGAACATTTAATTCACTGTACAGGGAAAGCAAGTGATTATTTGGAACCCAGAAAATGCTTTGCAAAAGAAAATTGAGAGGAAATTGAGTGGGGGAAATCGTTCTAAGTTAATAAATCGGTTTAAAATGTTTCTTCAAGGTCATTTTATTTGCATATTTCTAGTATACTCCCTCTCCCACCTTTCATATTTACTTTCTCCATTACGCTTTTCACGAAGATCAACCATAAGTTGTAGGGTGGATTATAGTGTAAAACAAATGAAAAGTAAGAGAGAAAGTGAAGGAGTATGAAAAATTGGAAAGAGAAGATGAACATATACGGATATATATGTCTTTTAGAGAGGGAAAAGCAGGAAAATCAGACAGTGGAGCAACTAATAATAAACTTCCATAATAGGAAGGTGATGCAAAAAAAATGCAGAGGGAATATGAAAACTAATATATCTTGATACATGTACAACAACTTAAAGATTTTTAATTAGGTTTGATTTTTCGGGATCCAAATGCATGCCAAAATTTGTTTCACCACTTCCTACCCACGTGTGAAAAAATTTGTAAGCGTGTTTGTTACTTCAGAAAATGATTAGGTGGAGAGTTGTTTGCTGTATATAGCAAAAGTAAGTACTTCCATCCTAACAAACGCCTCCTTATTGACCCAGAGAGGAACAATAACAATAAAAATGAATACTTGTTGGTCAGTGGACTTTATGCAATTGGCATGGGTATAAGGCACTTTGCCTTTGGCGGGAAACATGATGTCCATGCCGTGACTCCCAGCATAATATAATTCAGTTAGTCCTACCAATTCATAAACCTGCGAATATATAATATATATATATACATGTGTGTAAGCAAAGAAATGCCATTCCATAATAAAGGTAGGAAGAAAAATCTTTAAAGAAAAAAGGTCGGTTTTTTACCTTATCACGGTTTCGGCCACTGATGATTGCTGTGGGGAAATACTTTGCTGTGGTTTTTACGGCAGCACGCATCTGTAACCGTTGAGTTAAAAATACATCAAATACAAAACGACAATTGAAAACAATAATGATGAATTGATCATGCAAGGATCATTGCGTAGTCAATACTCACATCATCAGACATAAAAGCACAGTCAGGGTCATCTACGATTGGAGAAAGAGTTCCATCATAGTCTAAAAATACCACGATCTTCTTATTCCTCGCTTTGTTAAGAATGCACTGACACGAGTTAAGGGCTGACGGATACTTGATCTATACAATAGACAGGGGAAAGGAAAATGGTGATGCTCTGAATAAGGACTTGGATTTAATTTAATAAAAAATGAAAATACTATTGCCAGCTGCGCTATGGTTTTCAGTTCACGAAAGAAAAAAAAAAGAATTTAACATAATTGGAAAAGAATCAAAAGATAACTTCTGCATTCCATCGTTCTCGGAAACATGTTCCCGAATAGGACACGCTTCGTAAATAAACCATATGTTTTGGAATTTCTGTAAAAATCATAAAGATTCTGCAACCATCCAATATTTTGTAGTTTGTCATTTTATCCTTGCAAACTTGTCCTGATAAAGGAACACCAAATTTAATCTCTACTTTCTTCCTAAATTGCCCCTATTTATTCTTTTGAAATTATAGGATTAGTGATTGCAAAATGAGTAGTGGGAACAAGAACAGTCATTTTGTATTTACATCATTCTGTACGATTACAGTAGCAGTATCTTGAGATAGAAGGACACAACTTTGAGAAAAAACTAAGTTTCTAAAAGTCATTGATAAGAAACAGAATCAAAAGACATTATATATTAAGTGTACAAATAAGTTTCTGTATGATTCTTTAAAATTGTGTGATATATACGAGTACTAGTATAATTTTGGACGGAGGAAAGATGAAAAGATTTTAATAAAGTTCATGAAAAGCAGAAAAACATACCATCCAACAAACATACTCAACATCAGCATCATCAATAACAGCCTCAACGCTCAAGTCCTTCACGATCTTTTTTCGAGGAGGTGAAGAAGAAATCATTGCATCGAGCCAACCGTTGGACCGGACATCATCAAGTTTTCCAGGTTTCTTCCGAGCCGGAACCGTTAACATAGCAGTGGCGAATGGTGCAGCGGATTGAGAATAAGGCAACACAGCAGCAGAATGAATCCCTAACCATGACTTGTTTAGTGCTGAAGGGTCAGTAGTAATAACAGGAGAAGCGGTAGCTGAATTCAATTCCATAGGTGCCAACCACTTCCTAATGTTTCTCAAGCAGTTTTTTTTATGTTTCTAAAAAGCTAATAAGATGAGTGTACAAAATTGTTTATCCAACCCTTTTATCAATGAAAAACCACTTTTTCAATGTTTTCTTATCACTGCAGCTGGTTGAACAATCCATCAAGCAGAGGCTCTGAAAAATCTGTCATGATATCACATAATATTTTCCAAAAGTTAATTAATAAAACTTAATGTAAATAAACGCAAATACTTGATTTCTGTGTTCCAATTAGCAGTAGATTATTGTTGGTCAATATAAACTACGCAGAACATTATTATATGGTACCTCATCTCCAAAGACACACCGCATTTAAACAAAGCAGAACATTGTTGGTCAATATATCTGTGTTCCAATTGGCAGTAGAAGAAAGAAGATTACAATCTTGATTTCTGACAATAAAGATGGAGAGAGAGAGTATCAATAAAAATATATTTTTTGGATTAAAAGCTTTTAAAGAAACCACATGTAAGCCTATTAGACCATGACTCAGCATGAATAGATATCACATGGACCTTAATTGAGCATTTTTATGCATAATAATCATGTGGAAACTCTACCTACCCAAAAAGAAAAAAGCAATGGAAATTTTGACTAACAAACAAAGACTGCAACAAAGATGATTTCGTTTTTACTGTAAACTGATAATGAAAAAAGCCTGCTCAATGCATAATTAAACAATCTTAGGTTCGTTTAATAGTATTTGAAACTCCAAAGATGGATCCGTTTTTACTGTAAAAAACTGATAATGACGCCTATTTATCACCGCAATAATTTCATATCTAACCGCAACCGACATGACGGAAGATTACCATAAAAGAAGACCAAATTAAGAAACGGTTGTGTCGAATCATCTAGACCCACAAAACTGTATTAAAGACACATTTAAACAAACAGTTACACATGCGTGTGAATAGAAAATTCGGAAATCATATGCAGAAACCCGTCTTTGTATAGCTTCCAAGCAAACAATAGATTTGACCACACATAAAAAAAAAAAAAAAAAACTCCACCGCTATTACAATGAAAGCACACAGAAAAAGATAAGACCTTTGAGCACCCATTCCTGCTTTTGAAAAATAGACAAAAAGTTGTGGACTTCTTTGCATGGTCGAAATACCAAAAGTCGAAAAAGGATGCGAAATTTGGAATCTAAAAGCCGCATTACATGAAAAGAATACTATCGAATCCAAAACAGAAAAGGTGATGCCAAATACAATACCTATCGATCTGGAGCCGAATCACCTTGCACCGGAATAGAGTTTGTGAAACAGAGGAAAGCAGAGATAATAAGAGGAGAGGAATGGGAGAGGCAAAGAGGGATGGATGGAGAGAGTGGGACGAAATGGTGAGGGAGAAGAGAAGAAATAGCTAGAAGGGGTGAGAATATATAGAGCCCCAAAAGACGTGCTCAAGAAGAAAACCTGTTGCTCCGCAGTCCACCCTTTCCAGGTGGTTGAATCAACAAATATTAGGAATTAATTAATTCATTAACGGCACATTGAGTATATCAAAGCTAGAGAGGTAATTAAATTAAATTACGTAAATAGACCGGGAAAAGTAGTGGTGATGGAAAGAGATCTCATTTGGAATACCTGCTGCCGTCTCCCTTCAAGGGTTTCGGTTTTTGCCATCCTGTGTGCGGCGTTTAGATATAATCGTCTTTTGGAGTGATGATTAGGTTTAGAGAGAATGAATTGTTCGCGTCCAGAGGGAGAAAGGGAGGCGTCCAGAGGGGCTAAAATTACGGGACAGACGAAGGTTGCACGTCAGGGAATCAATTGAGCGACGGGCATGAGTTGTGCCTTGTTTGTGTCAACAATCATAGCAATGGTCTGACCTCCTCCTGAATCGCCGCCAGGGGTTGAACGAAGTGCTAGGGTTCAAGATACTTGTTTTGCTTATTTAGTTTTTTTCATGTTTCGTCCTCCTATTAGTTTTAATTATTCTATCATTTGGTTTCTTGTTACCGTCTATGTTGTTAGGTTTGTCAGTTTGTTTGGAAATTTAGCCTCCTTTTATGTCATTGAGTATGTTTGGATCTATGAGAACAAAGATGACTGTGTCAAACACGTTGCATGGTTAGCGATTTGTGTTGCTCTTTCAGGGGTGATCGTTTCTAGGTCTCACACTCTCACCATAGGGTTTACAGTCGTAGTTGTTGGAGTTTAGTTGATGTCAGATTTGTTTTTCTTTTGATTGATGTAATGATACTGAAACTTATGATATGAACAGAGGCAAGTTTCCGTTCAAAAAAAAATATAAAAAAAATACTTAAATAGAGGTAATCTTTCATATCATACCCTTTCCATATTTTAATAAGTAGTTCATACTTTTACTAATAATCAAAACATAAAAACGATTAAACACTTATTTATAATAATAAAAATATAAACAAATAAAAATTAGGGAAAACTATCAAATAAGCCCATCTACTTTTTAAAAAAAATCAAATAGACCCTCCAACTGAAATTTCGCTCAATCAAACCCTTGAACTCATTTTAAAGTGGCAAATCCTCCCTTTTACGTGCAGTAAATCTAATAATTCCTTGTTTATATACCGTCAGAATAATTTGGTCATTTATTTATTGTTATATCTCGATAGTGGCAAATCCTCCCTTTTTATTATTACTGGCAATTCATCCTCTCTTGTTTTTTCCTTTATTCATCTTGTTGCTCAGCATTTTGCTATGAATGATCTAGGTTATCTTCACTATTTTCTTGGAGTCCAGGCTAAACGTTCTGACAAAGGTTTTTTCTCTCTCAACACAAATATGTGTCACATCTTCTCTCTCGTTTCCATTTGCATACGGTTAAGTCTGTTCGTACACCTCTTGCTACTCACACCTCTCTATCTCTCACTATGGCGAGCTCCTTGCAGATGCCACTGAGTATCGTGGTATGGTTGGTGCGTTACAATATATAACTTTGACTCGACCTGATATTACCTATGTTGAACATTTAGTGTCTCATTTTATGCATGCTCCATGTACTACTCATATTTTTGCAGTCAAGAGAATTTTCAGGTATTTGCAGGGGACCTTAGACCACGAATTATTAGGGGTGGGATTTTGGAACCGGGAACCGTTAAATCGGTTGGAACCGAACCGTTATAACCCGGTTCGGTTCGGTTCCTACAAATGAGATATTAGTTGTTAACGGTTCGGTTCCTAGTTGTTGTTAACGGTTCGGTTCCTGGTTCCTATAAAAAAATATATGCACGGAACCGTTAAGGAACTGATATTAAAAATATAAAAATAAAAATAAAAATAATAGTAGTAGTATTAGTAGTAATACTAATATAACAAAAATAAATACAACAACAACAATAATAATAAATGAATGATATTTAGCCAATAATTTTAATTTAGTTTAATCTATAAAAACAAAAATAATAAATATTTGCACATGACGTTGAATACATTAAGCTCATTTTTACAAATCAAGTTTTGTTCCATCAATAGGATGTAAATGCAAACTCAATGTATTTCTAGGTTTTGAGAGGCATAAAGTGTACGTCCTATCCTTGCCACTATAACGATGAGCAACCTTCATTTCAACGACATAACGAACGATTTTTATATTTTATGTATTAAATGAAAATTAAAATCTTCTTTTTATTATATTAAGTGTTCACTTAAGTCCGAGCTTTGATGTTTGGAGTGATTAGAACTCTAAATAAATGTTTATGACTTGTTTTGACTTTTTGACGTTTTCATGTGGTAGAAGCTAAACTATGTGTTAATTCTTACACGAAAAAAATATTCTAGGAACCGATAAAAGCAAGAACCGAACCGTTTAGTATTGGTTCGGTTCCATATCGGTTCTTGATTCTTTATATAGGAACCGAACCGATTTCATTTGTTAAAATTTAAATAACGGTTCCACTATTTTGAGTAAGAACCGAACCGGTCCCAGGCCTACGAATTATGGTTGCGTCCTACTGCACAGACGACTTGTGTAATTACATATTCTGATGTTGATTGGGCTGGTTGTCCCGATACATCTCGCTCCACGATTGGATTTGCTGTCTTTTTAGGGCCGAACTTGGTCTCCTGGAAATCCAAGAAACAGCCTACAGTTTCTAGTCTTCTACAGAGGCAGAGCAAAAAGTTGTTGCTTATACTGTACATGATATTTTGCATATTCGTTCTGTTTTATGTCAAGGCTCCTGTTCAGTTATTTTGTGACAACATCTCTGCTTCCTACTTGACTGCTAATCCTGTTCAGCATGCTCGTAGCAAACATATTCAGATTGACTATCACTTTGTCAGAGTACGTGTTGCGCATGGAGATTTGATCATGAAATATATTCCTACACAGTTTCAGTTGGCTGACATTTTTACTAAAAGTCTTTCTAGTCAGCAATTGCTAGAAAGAACCTTGTAATGAATTTTTTAATATTTAATGATTAATTTGTCACTTAAGATTATTAATTGTTTCCTAAAATGGAAATGGGAACCTTTTAACGGGACGTACAAAAAAGGAAAGTGAGAACCTTCTTAATGGAATATAGTAAACAATATGAAATTGACTGGTCAAACATTCTGTTCTGTTAGAAGGTTTCCACTTTCCTTTTTTGGACGTCCAAAAAAGGAAAGTGGGAACCTTTCCGGTCAAACATTCTGTTCCTATGAAAACCTTATTCTTTCGAGGCCTCGAACTTTAGACTTGAATTTAATACATAGTAATACGTAGTATTTCTTTTCATTTATCCTTCCACTTGTAATTGAAAGAAAGTTTAGTGTTGTTATATTTGTGTGTTATTTTGAAATTTTATATTCTTTTATTGTTTGTAATTTTTATTATTGGAAAAAAGTTAACTTTGAAACAATAATTCATGATTTGTTTCACAATGCTCTTCAACAAACGTTTTAAAGTAATGTTTCTTTTTATATGAGACTTGTGTTGTTATTTTCACCTTTGTCCAAATATGTAATAATAAAGTGTTTTTCACCTTTATTTTATTACCTTTATTAGATAAGTTCATTATAATTATTAGTTCAAATAAGTATGGTTTACAGTTTAATTTGTCTTAGATATAAGCCCAAAATAGAATATCGCTCATATGCCCAAAAATGGGCAGGACCGCCCTGCTTATGAAGTTCTGGCTGAAGTGACTGAATTGATTGATTCTGCTTATTTATGTAAAAAATACATTCAAAATATGTTTTATTAATAATAAAAAATATACATGAAAAAATAGCTAAAATGTTTCTCTACAGTAGTTTTATCCAATACAACCAGAAAAGTAACTTCAACCTTACTTTTTCTTATTATTACACAATTAAGCACGCAGTTTGAAGGGGTGTAATTAGGGGCGGGCATAAAACCTGAACCGAACCGGTACCGAACCGTTCCGTAATGGTACCGTTCCGAATACCGGGTATTTAAACGGTTCTATAGATTTTTATCCCGTACCGAAACCGTACTGTTTGAAACGGGTACGAGATCGGTCCTAGATTTTGAGAACCGAAAAATACTGAACCGAACCGTTCGAAAATAATGCATTTGAATTTTTTATATTTTTTCTATATCAATAGATCTCTTTTATAGACCAACAATTTTATACCCCAAATATGTATTCATGTGTCCCTAAGATATCTAAATGTGTTTATATATATATATATATATATATATATAAAAGATCATGTGAGAAGTCCCCCTTAGGCTGAGAAGCTACGAAGTCTAATTTATAAGCTCTAAACATGAAATTTTAACCAATAAATCATAACTTATAGACTCCCTCCAAAACAATTACGAAAATGCCACCGCGTCAAAATAACTCCAGAAACCTGGAATTTTTTTTTGCAGAAAGTTCGTGTTTTTTGCTTATAAGTTAGACTTCGCTGCTTCTCAGCCTAAGTGCACTTCTCAGCTGATCCGCTCCCTATATATTGTTATTTTTTTCTTTTTAGATAATGTATGCTATATTTTGGTATGCATTGAAAGAATATTAAAATTTTAGAAATCATTAATGATTATTTATTTCTAGTAATTTAGTGTACATGACTTTTTGTTGTATCATGTTTGTGCAATTTTTACAACTTAATTAATATGGTTTAAATCTTAGCTCTCAAGGTTCAACTATAAATTCAATTAGAACTAAGGATTAATATTTAACCTATAATGAAGAAGAAGAACATTGAAGATTTCTATTATATTCAACAATTTGATGATATTCGTTTTTATATTTCCACATTAACTTAGTAAATTAAAAATGATATTTATCTCGTGCGTCATCGTTTTGCTATTCTTTTTCTTATTAGGGTTGCACTATTTGTGTATTTGTGAATTTTAGTAATACGTATGCAATTTCTTGTATTTATTCCAACATTTCATGTGAGTTGGTTGGTGTGATGATATCTACTAATT